TTTACCAGTGAAATTTGCCTGTATTCATCCTCATTCTCTTCCTCCTTGTTCGCCTCCTCCAAACTCTTCTTCTTCTTCTTCTTTTTCTTCTTCTTCTTCTTCTTCTTCTTCTTCTTCTTCTTCTTCTTCTTCTTCTTCTTCTTCTTCTTCTTCTTCTTCTTCTTCTTCTTCTTCTTCTTCTTCTTCTTCTTCTTCTTCTTCTTCTTCTTCTTCTTATTTTTCTGCCTTTCTAACCCTCTGTAGAGTATATGCCCTCATTCAAGCCACGCCAAATCGTTGTATCCTTCTCTATTGCATGCAGCTCTCTCCATGTCCTCCCCATCTTTTTAACTTCACTTTGTAGCTACCTTTTCCAAATGTTTTCTGGTGTTTATTTATTCCCATGTCCACGTGGGTTCCAGTGCACAGACATTCTATGTATACTGTTCTCAAACTTTCTCCATGTGTGTTCTATCCAGCGTCAACGTCTTTTCTTCCCATCATGGTCCACTGGAACTTGCTTAGTTCTCTCCCAAAGCTTTACATTAGTGATTCTGTCATACCGCTTCAATCTCTCTATTCTGCGAATGTACTCGTAAATGATTGATTGTAGTTTACTGGTAATTACCCTAATTGTTCTCTATGATTCTGCTTCATACAACAGTATTGATTTGATATTAGAATTACATTTTGAGTTTAGCATTTCTTTCATTTTTCTATGACCTCCACAAATTCTTCAGTACTATGAAAACGCCTCTTGCATTCGTATTTTGATATCTCTATCAGTTCCCCCCCCCCCCCCAATCGTTATCTACATTACTGCCCAGACGGATGTATGACTCCACATTTTGGAGTGGGGTACCCTGAGGAGAAACCGCATTCCTACCTGCCTGATTTATTCTCATTATCTTTGTCTTTCCTTTATGGATTTTATGACCCAGCTATTGTGACCTCCCAAGAAGTATATTTAATTTATCTTGCATCTGATTCCGTGAGAGGAACAAGAGCAAAATATCTTCAGCAAAGTCTAAATCATCAAGGTATTTTGTAGGGGTCCACCACTGAATTATGTTCTTGGTGTTAGCAGTTGCCGTCTTCATAATCCAGTCTATTACCAGTACAAAGGTGTGAGGGGGAAAAATTTAATGTATCTGGTAACTTTCCCTCATGAAGAACTCGACATTTCATTTCTTTGTGTGTTGCCTTCACAAAGTTAATGATTTCATTTGGGATTCCATAACAGCCCATTAATTTCCAGAGATATTCCCTATCAATGCTGTCAAAAGCTTTTTCATAGTCTATGAATCCAATGTAAAGAACTAATTGTACTACTACTGATACACTACTACTACTGCTACTACTGCTACTACTACTGCTACTACTACTACTACTACTACTACTACTACTACTACTACTACTACTACTACTACTACTACTACTGCTGCTACTACTTCTACTACTACTACTACTACTACTACTACTACTACTACTACTACTACTACTACTACTACTACTACTACTACTACTGTTGCTGCTGCTCCTACTGCTCCTACTGCTCTTACTATTACTGCTGCTGCTGCTACTGCTACTGATACTACTACTGCTACTGCTGCTACAACTACTACTAGTACTGCTGCTGCTACTGCTGCTGCTACTACTACTCCAACTACTACTACTAATGCTGCTGCTACTACTGCTACAACTACTACTGCTGTTGCTGCTGCTCCTGCTGCTACTACTACTATTATTATTTTACACTCCTCCTTCTTCCTCTTCCTGCTCCTAATTCTTTACATATCCTCTCCCTCTTTCTCTTCATGTTTCTCTTCCCCTGCCATCTATGTCTTTAGTGTTCTTCTGTGTCCAGTGCGATAATATTGACAGAAAGCAGCGGTCATCTGGCTTTGTTGTAAACATTTGTGTGGGAAAGGACCCCCCCCCCCCCCCCCATCCCAAACTCACAAATACACATCGTTAATAATTATCAGAAAGAAACCCAGAAACATACCACATAAGGACGTTCTCTTCTGAATAATTTGTTTACACATTTCGCATTATGTTCTAAATGTTGTTTTTGGGACCTGACTGCACAGTATTATTATTATTATTATAATTATTAATATTAATATTATTATTATTAGTTAGTTGCATATCGTTTACAGGACGTTGCAGAACCAACCCCAAGACTTTCTGGCTCCTGTGGTTTTTCTAGGCAAATTTACGTCCAGTAGTTTGCCATTGCTTACTGAACGGTCGGCTTCTCGATACCACTGTCGAAACCAACGCAAGGCGCATAGCCCGCAGCTGGAATCGAACCTGGCAACCCGGCATTACAAGGCACGTTCGCAACGCCTAAGCCACAGACGCAATTATTAGGCAATTAAACATGACTGAGACATCCCCCAGCGCCCCATACCTTTCTTGAGTGTAGGGGAGGGTGCCTGAAAAGCTACAACCATGTTTGAATAGACAATTATAATACCTTGGATTATTGTAATTCATATTACTGCGTTATAACATTTTCCTTACTGCTTAATAGTCCCATCCATGAAGGCGCATCATTTGCTGTGAAACAACCTTTACCTGATTTTTGTTTTTGTTTTGTTTTGTTACGTTCAAAAATGCGCGTTAATTAACCGTGGGTCAAATGATGTTCATGTTACATGACCGGATATATTTTCACGGAACATTTTTTGAAACGACACCGGAAAATAACGGGGTTAATCTCCGTGTCATTTTTAGACATGATTAATATTTTATATTAGTGTGCATTCGTCTCTGTCGAAATAGATCATTCTCCTCACAATTTATCATCATTCCTACCTCACTAATATCATCATCATCCCCCCACCTCCTATTCCTCCTCATCATTTCATCACAATCATCCTCACTGTCGTCATCATCATCATCGACATTGTCGTCATTAACATTATTATCATCGTCATTATCATGTCATCATTAGTCTGATTTTGTTGGAGATGTCTGCCTGTTTAAGTGCTTGCAGATGTTTGCCTAGTCCTTACCTATGATCAGGTTAGTTGCGGATCCTTTACAGGACGTTGTAGAACCAACCCCAACAGCTTTTCACCCATAACTAATAATCGTCTAGGTAAAGACATTCCAACAATTTGCCCGGTTTGCATCGAACAAACTGGTCTCCACACATGGATGTTACAACTTATGCACTGGCTGTTGTGTGGAATTTCTAGGCAAATTTACGTCCAGTAGTTTGCCATAGCTTTCTTGATACCACTGCCGAACCAACGCAAGGCGCATGGCCCGCAGCTGGGATCGAACAAGGCATCCCGGCATTACTAAGCGTTCGCATCGACTTAGCCACAGAGCCGACACCTGTGATAGCTTTCCTATAAAGTAGAAAGTAAAGATAATATGCGCATCAGGAAAATGGGAAGAGCACCATATTTTTACAGACCAATTGGCACTAGGTAGGTAATGTGGTCAGCATTACGCCGGTCGTCTTTACTTTCCCGGGACATTACACACTGGTACCCATTTTAGGTTGAGTCGACCTGCGACGCCCCGTACCATGATAACAATCCATGCAGCCGGCAGTGGGTTTCGATCGCGATACGTCGGAATTACGAGTCGGACTCGCAACGCTTAAGCCACGGAAGTTTTCATTTGGAGATTTGTGTAATGTTATGGCAGAGACCGAGTTTCTTTCAGGCAGATTGTGATGAGAGCGACGTTCTGAATGACCTGTTACATGATGATATGGCAGAATTAGACGTACAACAGCTGAGAGATAAAAACGCTGAGCTAGATGTTGCAACCATTTTCATCGATTGTTCTGTTTACTTGGGTGTAAGATCTGGCTAGAGGTTATAAGCTTGAGTAATCCCTGTGTCGGTTACAGGGCCCAATTGTGGGGGGAAACAAGAATAGACCCATTGCCTCCCCAGCTAGCATGTCGTAGGAGTAGTCTAGCTGGGGACTTCCTTCGAAGTTGGAGTTCATCTGCCCGAGAAGCAAAAAACAACCAGCTACACACAAATAAGTCAGTAAAAGGGTGTACATGCAAAACTCAGGCCCTGGCTCAAAGCCGAAGTCCAAATGGATGAACAACCAGGAAAGAACAAAATGCGACTTCAAACCGAAGGGAAGGTTGGTGGAGGAGGTAATCACTGCAGTTCTGAAGCTGATAGCAGAAAATAGAGTTACCAGATAAATTACTGTGTCTGATTCTCAGTCTGTACCGTTCCAAATGGGCAAATGAGCATGGGTGAGTACCAAGCAACAGCCAGTCAACATATCCGTGACTCACGTGGATTTACTATCTGGGGCATGCATAAGTCATCATCATCATAAACTACTTCTGACCCCAGGCGACGTGGGGAGGAATAATTTGCGATCCAGTGCACGCTGGCTGCCACTAGCCATTGTCATGCCGTGAAGGCGTAGTGTCTATAATGTTGTGGATTTATGTTTCCGCGGCCGTCCTCTTGCTCTTGTAGCTTCACATTATCACAGTCATGAACGACCAATGAACATTGTGACTAGAAAGCCCTCATCAGCAAATAAAACAAACAGATGGTGATGCAAATACAAACAAGAAAACACAAAATCACTTATCTGTAAGTTGAGATCCCTCACATAAATATCCATAAGACGCGGGACAGTAGAAACTCTTCGTCAAGTGTGTAATGGTGTAGATGAAGTAATAAAAACATGCAGCCATGTTGTTTAATAGCCTGATTTATTTTGTAGACTAACGACCAACCGGTAAACACAGTGCAATCTCTCTCTCTCTCTCTCTCTCTCTCTCTCTCTCTCTCTCTCTTCCCCTCTCTCTGTCAGCACGTCTCTCCATCCTCTCTCGCTCGCTACATCTCTTTCTGCATCTCTCTCTGCACTCTCTCTATCTCTGTAGAAATGTATCTCTCTCCCACACACATACACTCTCTCAATCTCTCTGTCTCCATCTGTCTCCGTCTCTCTCTCTCTCTCTCTCTCTCTCCTGCACAAATAATACAAATGGATCATTCACAGTAAGTTATAACAGTGAGGTTTCAAAGTCCTTCTTCCACGTCTTGGACACCTGATAGAAACGATAACATCCACAGAGCATCATATACTTCAACGTCTTTCTGAAATGGGGGCTGATAATGCAGTACAGGATAAAATTAACGGAGAAATTGATCGACTGCATTAAGTTCAATACCGCTTCTATATTCTTCAACATGGGCGTATCCTGACTGTTTGTCAGGAAGGAAATCTGCAGCGTCACCTCCGAAGGGGCCACCAGTATAAAGAAGAGAACAACTATAGCCACCAGTGTAATTGTCAAAACATGGGAGGAACTTTTAGTCCGATCCTGCCTTCCTAGCTGCTTCCGTAATTTGTAGGAGCGGTAAATTTTGCGAAACAAACATACGTTAAAATACAGAAGTAAAAGAAGTGGTATAAAGTTGCCAACAAAAGCCCAAACAAGCCGGTACGCGTTGTCGTAAATTTGATTTCCTGCAAACGGAACAATTCTTGTCGTGTAAAGTGTTTTTATTCCGGAATTGTCAGGTTCTGATTTCTGAAAGGAGAACCCTGGTTCCGTAGGCCGAGATACTGTCGATGTCTGAGGTAACCTGGATATTGTTTCTGTTGTGGAATGATTGATGGAGAATACATGAGATGTCGACACACTGGGGGTTGTTTTGTTGCAAGGAATATTAGTAGGTGTCGTCAAGGACGCGTTGACTACAGCCGGAAATAGAGTTGTAGTTGATGTCGTAACCGTCGTGACGACATCCCAAAGAGGTTGAACATTTCCCTCGCTCTTGTAATCGGCAAATCTGAAACTCGAGTTGCCTTCGGTCATATTTGTGTTGCTGTGAATATCATTTGACCAGTCGATGCAGAACGTAACGATTTCCTGTCTCCACAGAACCGGGATGTTGAAGACAACAGAAAAAATGAAAGTGAACACAATAACGAACTTAATCCTCCGTGTTGTCAAGTAGATGTCTTGTCTGAGCGGGAAGCAGATTGCCAGATAACGCTCCAGCGACATGGCCACGGTCAACATGGTGCTGTCCATGATAAAGACGTTGATGATGGCGGCGCTGTAGACTCCGTAGATGAGCAAGATTCCGTGTTCCTCGTAGACGTTGTCTGCCGGCAGGAACATGGTCAACAGAGCGAAGATGCAGAACATGAGGTCAGAGACGGCCAGTGAGATCAGGCAGAGGTTGGCTGACTGTTCCAGTGTGCGGAAGGATTTTTGTAGCTTTCTTCTGGAATGTATCAATGGAGATCACGTGACTACCAAAAGGATCAAGCATTACAGTTAAAACACACACAAAAAAAAAGGGGGGGGGGGGGCAAGGGGGACTTATAAAATGATAAACATGTAAATGATAGAGAGAATATGGTGCATAAATTGTAACTTCCATGTGAGGAGAACAGTTTGTTCGACTCAGACTGGAAATTGTTGGCATAACCTTAGCTAGACGATTATTAGTTTTGGGTGAATGAATGGATGGATGGACGGACGGACGGATGGATGGACGGAAGAAGAAAAAGAAGAAGAAGGAGAAGAAGAAGAAGAAGAAGAAGAAGAAGAAGAAGAAGAAGAAGAAGAAGAAGAAGAAGAAGAAGAAGAAGAAGAAGAGGAAGAAGAGGAAGAAGAAAAAGAAGAAGAAGAAGAAGAAGAAGAAGAAGAAGAAGAAGAAGAAGAAGAAGAAGAAGAAGAAGAAGAAGAAGAAGAAGAAGAAGAAGAAGAATAATGAATAAACTAACGAAAACAACTTTTTTCCCCAGGAACTGTACACGCAGGCCCTTCCTACATTCTGTCCGTCTAACCCCATTCATTTCAGACCTTGTTTTAGTCAGTTATATTTCAAAAGGTAATAATTAAACACAAATTACAACAATTAAATATTAGTTACAAATCCGGGAATGCGGTAAAATTATCCATACCTTTCTAAATACTACTAATTTTTAGAATAACTGTAGTAATTATAGGCGATATAAATATTATATTTAATATACAATGATCTGCCTACGGGATCGTGTAGTGTGCAAAAGTAAGTTGACCCTTTTCTACGCCTTCATGTGTATTGGGTATATAGGGCTAAACCTACAGTTTATAGACCAATCGGCACTCGATGGGCGATGTGGTCAACACGACACCGGCCGCCTTCGCTCCCATGACTCCACTTGGTGCCCATTCAAGGGTCCTTAGGTACCCATTCTATCTTAGGTTTACAGATGTGTAATTTATTTAGGAATTTGCATGTCCTTTCAGCTATAATTAAACAAAACCCCAAAGTAATCTGGATCATTCTGAGATAAAACTGAATAAATTTTGCTTTACTGAAAAGTAGGCATTTATGAACCACTTATATCATAGTACCTATATAATTTGGGACCACTTCTTTCATGATTTTTACTTATAAAACGTATAGCCCTTCTATGAATTAATTTAAGTCTCTGGATAATCGAATTGGGACAACAACTGTGGGGAGAGTGGGGGGGGGGGGGTGGGGGGGCAGTATTTTATATAGG